ATAATTAGGATCATATAAAGTAAATAAATGAAATTTAATACTTAAGTAATGTAATATTAATAGTTGATAATATAATAATTTATTTTAAACATATGTAATATAAATACCAGGTTAGGTTTTCATTTTAGAATAGTCGACGTGTGGGAAAATCTTATCAAGTTAAGCGTCATCGAGGTGAGTACTCATACTCTTAAATTACAGTATTTTTTTAGTATCTCTTCTAAACCAGTTGTGTGGATTGTTATTCATGTTTGATTAATAAAATTGATAAAGTGGATTGTTATTCATGTTTGATTAATAAAATTGATTTTTCTATTATTAAATTTTATGAGTCATCTCGATACAAATGCTTATAGTCACATATTATGAAATAATTGATGCATTATAATATTATATATGAGTAATATGAAATTGTGAATGATATAATTTTTATAGAGTTAATGTATGTGTATGTTTGACTATGATGGAGTCACCTCTTGATAGTACTAGTAAGAGAACACTAAGATTCTCATGCACCCATATGAAAAATGATATTGATATTGAAGTACCTTAAACGTTAATCTTATGACGGTTGTACAAATTTATAATATAAAATCATATTGGTGTGTTAATGATATACTACAATGTTAAATATTTATATTGATTTATTAAAAAGTTTAACTGACATGCATTTTATTTAATTTTTATTGTATTGTCATAGTTTAGGAGTATGAGTATTCACCAGCTTGTTTAGCTCATTATTATTTTTAAACTAATTTTTCATGTTAACTAAGTGACTAAAGATGAATGATAGAAGAAACAATATGTATAGAAGACGCAGACAACCAGTAACGAAGTAAATTTAAATTTATTATTTTTATTTATTTCGATTAGTTACTCTTTTATTTGTTAAATAATAATTAAATATAGAAAATTTAATTCACATTGTCCGACTGTTTGTTCCCGTCTTAGTTAATTTTAAACCCCAAGCTGGGTCGTGACAGCCAGGATGATAAATCACTCGTCATACTCAATCTACATAACTATTCGACGAACAAAACATTCATTTGCTAATATGATAACTTGCTTATACTTCGCTATACTGGTCTTCCTATACTCATTCATAATATTGGATATATTTTTTCACCTTATTATACTTTTTATGCTAAATTGACTTATGCTTGATCAATTAAGAAAAAAGTTAAAAGAAAAATGAGAAGAAAACTTCATTAACATGAACTTCTTTTTACAAAGAATATGGAAAAAATTATACAAGGAAACTTGTATGGATGATTCTATCATTATGCTGCACTCTCTTCGTCAGACATTGACACTTCGAGTAGTTAAATGATAAAATATTTCTTACGCAATAAATAGCTTGAAAAAAATTTTCCTTACTGCAAGGCACCTCTTTCCCCTACAACGAGGT